GTACGCCTGGAAAACCGGGTCTGGAGGGATCTCCTGGGCATCGAGGACCCATTGGCCCTAAAGGCAGCAAAGGCCAGGCAGGTGCACCAGGCGATGCCTGCAAGATCCCTCAGTCGTCCTTCTCAGTGGGACGTCGCAAGTCCCTGCATAGCGTGGACTACTACCAGGCGCTGGTGTTTGACACGGTGTTCGTCAACCTGTACGAGCACTTCAACATGTTCAAGGGCAAGTTCTACTGCTACGTGCCAGGAATCTACTTCTTCAACATCAACATCCATACCTGGAACTTTAAGGAGACCTATCTACACCTCATGCACAACGACAAGGAACAGGTGATTCTGTATGCACAGCCCAGCGAGAGGTCCATCATGCAGAGTCAGAGCGTCATGCTGGATCTGGCTCTGAATGATGAGGTCTGGGTCCGACTCTACAAGAGGGAGAGGGAGAATGCCGTTTACAGTGATGACGTAGATGTTTACATCACCTTTAATGGATACCTAGTGGCAACTAGCATCCAGTGACAGAGGAAATAACGGGAGGATTGGCAAAATATCTGGGTCGGATTATTTAGTCTTTTTGCCATGGATGCTGCTTTGTGCCACGAACTTAGAGGATATTACAAGTTTGGTGCTTCTTAAAGTATTCTTTTCAGTCTGGAGAAGAACATATTTTGCTTTCTTAAATGAGAAGACTGCCCAAAAAAATTTGAATCACAAGGAACAACAAAAAGGCAAAGGTAGCACAGTACACAATTAGGAAAGAATGTTAAATCACTTTTGTTACACTAGAATACATTTGTGCAAAGTAAATATTCTTCCTAGTTCTGTGCTGGGCCAGTTTACCTCTTGGATCACTCCGTTCAGGGACTTTGTGTATAAACACAAGTTTTACCACTTATATTTTGGGCTATGATACTTATTGACATAGACAGAGTATCTTTCAGATTAAAAGGTTATTGGACACACTGCCGTCATTCCTTTAACAGATGTTTCTATTGTGCCTTTCAGAAGAACATTTTAAAAGGTCAGTTCACTCTAATCACAAAAAATGTCCCACTTACCCATGATGATGTGTAACCATGCAAATAGTTTCAGATTTTGCAGAAAGAATCATGACGCATGTATAAAGATGTTATAAAGTGAAACATTAAGCAACTGTAGGAAATTTGAAAACATTACTTTTGTCTGACAAATCTTTTTTCCCCACAGTTAGTTTCTATAACTTTACATTTGCTCCAATGACATAAGTGATGGAGCATTATGCTGCTGCAGGTGTTGGTAAGAGCATTTTGGATTAGGTCTGCTCTTCTGGTGTCTCCTGTGAGTCAGATCCTGCCCCTCACATGTCAGCAGTTCTAATCACTGAATCTCTTCCTACACACACCCTGATCTACCAAACTCAAAGACTTAACTATTAAGATGAAGGAAATTTTGTTTGTGGTGATAAATGTATTAAAAATGACATTTAAAAACCTCAGCAGCAATGTCTCTTTCCAGAAACTGGAATGTGGTTGTTCAGAATCTGTAGAAATCAGTGACAACAGTTTTCATTAGGATATTTTTTATGAAAGCAAACATTGCAGGGAAAAATATCCAGAGCTGAACCTGTAAAAACAAAAACAAAACTATTTGCATAGACAGGGATAAGTGGGACAAACAACACATTTTGTATTTTTGATCTTCTGGTACGTCCCAACATTACAAAATAATGGAAACTATGGTGCTTAAAAATCAAATGCACGAATGCACAAGGTTTTTGATGATTAAATATGTTTTCTTATGGAGATTTCAAACTGCGGAGCAGTTCATGTAAATAGCTGTATAGTAGCTTTCCTTATAGCACACAATAAATCTATGCTACAATTCATGCTGTTGTGGCTGCTGTGTATGTACTGTTTGGATGTGTAAACAATAGTTCCTCCTTTGCTAACCAAGTTTCTCTTTGTTCTGTATCAGTGATGAGCAAAAACACACCTGATTATAATAAATTGTCTTCATAATTTCACATGCAATCAGACGCATATATATTCCATTAAAATGTCTTTTTTTTTTTAAACATATGCATGTCACATGTGCAGAAACAATTTCTCCAGTCTTTTATTTCATTACAAATGGCACCATGCATCTTAGGACTTGGCTCAAGATTAAGTGATTCAATTAACTGTGGGAAATGTTTTTTGAGAATTAACCCTGGAAATTGGTCCCCCACTCTAAAATGAACAAATTAGCAAACAAAAGCCCATCTCAAACTCTCCAACAGCGGGTGGGTTTCCACAGCATGCCATCTCCATCTGTTTGGCCATAGCTCTCCCATTAGATATAATACCGCCCCCTGAAAGGCTTTTCTGGAGGAAAAGCAGAGTGTAGCACTGTAAATACTTTAAGCTGTGAGTGAAGATCTGAAAATCTCTATTGGAAAACAAAGCAGGAGATCTGAACACTTTTCCTGGATCATCAGCCCAGATGAGCTGAGGCTGTTCTAACAAGCACAGTACATAAACTGTTGCTAACAAGATGAATGGAAGGATACAGTCACAGCCAGACAGGCAGATTAGGGTCAAGGCTGGACCATAACACAGGAATCATTTGGGGTAGGTTGACATTTGTAAGTTTTTTTTTTTTTTTTAACTACAGACGTCGTTGTACGTCTGATTCCTCAAGCACCACCTCCTATCAGTACAGCATTTGCTGAGTGGATAAATAATATCCAAAAAACAATCAGAGTCCAAACTCTGCAAATCCAAACCAAAGCAGTTACTCAGGGGATCAGGTAGAGGCAGATGTCAAGAACGCTGAGACTGGCAAACACAAACGCTTTGAGAAGCACATCAGACAATCTGGCAAAAAAAGAAAGAAACCAGACCAGTGTATATAGCAAGGGGGCTAACCGACTAAGTGAAGACAGGTGTGGGAGTTAGGACTTGGCAATGCAGGGAAGAGTCAGAGGAAAAAATCCAGAGACACCTGGAGACCTGGTGATGGAGACTGGGATGAACAGTCTACAGAAAGGTCCAGAAAGTAACGGGGCCAGGAAAACGTGGGGCAGAGAGAAAACAAAAAGGACTGGCACTGTGACAGATGCTTTGTGTACTGATAAATATATTCACTATCTCATTAAACTACCTGATGCAGAAATACTTTCATTTATGTTTTGCAACTGAACATTTATACAACCCTAAACTCACAATAGCATTCTTCTGTAAGAAATAACCATAGGAATCTCAAGATTTACAACACAGTAGATACAGTGGGTATCAGCAGCACTGTTTACATTTTTAAAAAAAAGTGTTCGATATGATTTTGGCAGTTTGTAATTGGCAATCGAACTACTAGGTTGTAGACAGAACTCAAGCCTTAAACCGCAATTGTGTCTTATTAATATATACATAACTGGTTCAACTTCACATTACTGCTTTGTATTACATTGTACTAGTCCTATTACTAGCAATTAAAAATTAAAAAATGCACAAAATTACTCTTATCAACATTCTGATTGACAATAAACTGACTGACCTACTAGGAAAAGAAAAAAAGGCTGAAGGCTGGAGAATTTCCCAAAGCCTAGATATGGACAACAAGAGCCAACTGTAAAGCAAATAGAAAACAGACCAGAGGACAATGGACATAGTAAAAACACCACATAATATTTTCTAATAATCCTAAACTAACAATTGCATTCCTTTGTAAGAAAGAACCACTGGGCTCACAAAATGTACAACTCAGCAGATACAGCTGATATCAGCAGTCAAAATATGAATAGTACAGTACACACTAAGCACAGCGAGGCCTTTTGCATTCCTACTTCACTGTAGTTCTGCAGTTATGTAACTGATAAAGCCAAAGGGAAACTGGAGGGAGGGGCTGTGTGGTGGTGGGAAGGTTGTGATAGATGTTTTGAGACTATGAAGGAAGGTTAAAAAGTTGTTTATGTGGGAGACTGAAGGCTAAACCTCCAGGCTAACAGCTGTTTTCAGGTATGACTGATCTGCAGCCTATTTTCTCGTAGATTAGAAACAGGAAGCAGGGCGGAGTGCGGAGGCAGTGCTCTCTAATTGTAACCACATGACCTCTGACCACACTCATCTGTCAGAGGGAGGCAGGATTGAGGGGTAGATGGAAAAAAAGAGGATAACAGGAATATCAAGTGAGTGACAGGGAGGCTTATGGAACAAAAAGTATAGTGAAAATGGTGTCAGATTTGGCGTGTACAGATGCCAAACAGAGGTTGTGGTGAACTCAATTAGAAAACCAGACGAACCGAGGTAGCGACAAGTTCTTTACTTGTAGTAAGCAAAACAACTAACACAAAGTCCAGGATATCAATCAGGTCGATAAGACAGTCCAGGGTCGGCGCCGGTAAACAGGTATAGCCAGGGGATCCAAACTTGAGGTCAAGGGGGACAAAATCAGAAGGTCGGTACACTGCAGGCGAACAGAATCTGGGAGGGCATAGACAAAACACGGTGGTCAAAAAACAGTAATCCAAGGTCAGAAACAGAGAGTCAGGCAAGGTATAAATGCTGGAGAGTCACAGCTGGGGTCTAGAACAATCTGGCAGCGTCCTGGTGGGAGGACGCTGCCTAAATAGAAGTAAAAAACAGGTGCAAACAATAAGGAGCAGGTGAACTAATGATGATTAAGTAAAAGGGCAAAAACTGAGGTGAAACAAAACAGGAAGTAATGTGAAAATAAAAGCATGACAGGAAGCAACAGGGGCAGGAGCGTGACAAATGGTAGTTGAATGGTAGATCAAAGAGCACACCAAGTCCCAGACTGTCTTAAAATCACCAAATTACAACTCTTTAAAACAGAAAACCCTAAGATATAAATTTTAAAAAACCTAGTTTGATCTACAGTCTAACACTGCTGCATAAATAGAGGTGACAGGAAGGTGTGCTGAGAGAAAACCAACTAACCTTCCATATACCCTTCAAAGTCAGCAACATAATTCCTCAGGGCTGGAGAGTAATACCGCTTTTAGATTGTGTACATACCAGTGAGCTTCACTGGATGTACAGTATGTGTGTAAGCTGAAGAAACACATGGAGGTCATTCTGAGTTTCATATTGACTCCCGTCTACAGCTGGGTTTTTTCTTTGCTTCTCAAGTGACAGTGAGGGATGCCTTCCTGACATGTCAGATGAAAGTGGAGGATTTAGCCAGTGATCAGTCAGCAAAGACACAGAAAGATGTCACATGTATGTGTATATGTGCATACATCTAAGTGCACAAAAAATAGAAAGCAAAAAGACAAAAAGCAAAAAACAAGCACAAAATGTTGAAACAATTTATGGAAAATGAACCGTAGCATTAGCAGAGCATCAGCCCTGTCCAGGACTGTCCTCACTGTGTGGAAGACAACCCCAGACACTTCTTCCAGAAACAGTCAGGACACGGTTGTGCACTACACTTTAACAGAGATGGGCAAACAAACTGGACACACATATGTACAGTAAAACCAATCACTCGGTGACCACCCTTACAGTGTTTTCTCTTGTAAAAGCACTTCTAATATAGCACAAATCTTACATTAATGCGGCTTGTCCTCATGCATTTAGGTGTCTACTTCTCCTCGTTCCTTGCTCAGTGCTGCCACCGGTGGTCAGGGAGGTACCAACTGGACCAGCTGAAGCTGTGTTTCACAGTGACCGGCTCCTTCACAGCTCTGTGGCTACAGTAACATGTGTTCATAGCCTTTCAGATGTATAGCACCGAAATAATAACCTGACACGTCTTCTCTGATGATCACACTCATATTAACACTGCTGGCTACACCTGTTCATCAGCTGCTCTGTCTGGCATCAGCTTGAGCCTCGGACCGCTAACTAAACCAGATAACCAGACTAACTCTGTGGAATCGCGCAGTCCATTTACCATTAAAAAAAATTACAAACTGCACGAAAAGCAGTCAAGATGTTTTGCATAAGAGCATATTAACATGCTCAAGGTATCACAAAAGTCAATAGGTTCATGAACGCCTGTTCCAAAGTTCTCCTTAACTCAAGAAGTAATTTAATAGATTTTTCAGTCTGGACTAAAGTGATGAACTGACAGACCAACACTGTCATCCCTAGAACCACGCAGTGACTGTGACTAAAAAGTTACAGTTGACAGCACATTGCATAGATTGCATCCTAGGAATGGCTGTAAACCACCAAAATGCATTATAGCTTTGTCACATAGGTTTGATTAAATAGTTTACAAGGACGAGCACTACAGTTGCTCATAATTCACTCATGTTCTTCACTGCAGCACCATCTTGTTATTCATCACCATAATGGCTTTGAAGAACATTAGTGTGAGGCTCTGAGGGAGGAGAGCCAGTAGTCAGGGTGTCTGTTGATACTAATACATTTAAAGCCTTTAAAGTGCATAGCACTCAAAGTGGAAGCTTGGCCAGTCAAGCTCCACGGCGCTTTAGCCCATCCCATAACCTGTAATGTAAAATGAAAAGTTATTGTCAGATGGTGATTCCTGAACCTATGCATGTATTGTACTAGATCCATAATATACTACAGATGTTGGATTTATACCAAGTTATACTATGTTTTAAATTCATTTCTGAATATCAGATGACTATACTTTATACTTTACAATACTGACATTTAATCCATTAGAGAAACTGCTTGTATTCCTTTAAGATGCAACACTGACTGAAGTATTTCAGGATCCAACTGCTAACCACTGTCTCCTTTTCACATTTTCTACTGCCGTGTCTCTCTGTCTATCCATCATCATTCACGGTTCTCTGTTTCCCTTGTAAAGCCTCACGATCTAAGAATCCAGTAATGGATCTTAGGCAATAACCACCAGAGTGCTGCTGAGTGAGTCAGATGTGAGGGAGGGGAGGAGGCATGTGGAGCGGCCAAACACTGCTCCATGCTCTGTTGGCTTCGTTTTATCTTGAGCTGAGTAAAAAGGTCTGTGTATATTAGATAAACTCTTGTCCTGACTCAGCAGAAAAGGCCGGTCAACATAGTACAGGGAAGGCAA